TGGGTCGAAGGCGCCGCCTGGCGGCGTGTGCCGATCACTGGCGGCAACTACCCGCGCGACCGTCTCCCTCCATCAGTCTTCTACTGCCGAGCTCAGAGACGTTTGCTCGTGCACTTTTTTTTTTCTTCTCCGGTTTGTGACTTTCGACATGGCCAGCCCATCCCCATCATACCGCCATTCCCTGCCCGAGGGGCACCCCTATCATCACCCCCCCCTGGGTGAGCCCAACGACACGGGGCTCTCCCAGCGGGACTGCCAGTTCCTTGCTCGGCACTACTGGTTCGATCTGACCGAGGAGGAGCAACGGCCCTTTCCGGGAATACGCCAAAAGTCGTCTGAAGGGAAGGCGGGGCACAGTGCCCAAACCCACCCCTTCCCGGCAGTTCCGGTTTAAGCCGCCCCGCTTGGGAGCCTTCGCCGGCAGCTATCTTCGGCTGCTGCGCGACATGCAGTCGGGGGAGCCGCACGAGCTCACCATCCCCATGGGTCAGGCCTGATATGTTATATCTCTGTCGCCGTTGAATACAAGTGTGGCTTTTTTTCTTTGATGCATACTGATACGGTTTCGTTCTTGAGTCTTGTGGAGAGGAAATTGGGTTTGCGGCTGCGGTTGTGTTCAATTCATTCCCTTTTCGAGCATCGTTTAATCGGTCCAGGACACCTGGGCAAAGACCAAGTGGGCGAATCGACCAAGTGGGCAACCCGACCATCTGGGCAAACATCAACTGGGCAAAAACCAAATGGGCAAATCGACCATCTGGGCGAACGCCCACTGTGCAAAAACCATCTGGGCGAGAACATCGACCGGAGATTGAGGAGACGGAGGATAGTCCTGAAGCTTCTAGGTGCCATCTGGGCGAAGAGCTCTATCATTAGCTTGCTGTCTGGAAATACGAGGCACATCCCATCACACGGATCGTGTGGTCCGATATCTATCGAGGTTAAAGCTCCGGCAGATGCACAGCAGATCGAGCTCCTCAACCAGATCGACGATGACGACCCGGTAAGGCATCTTGATTACCTTCATGCATCGTGTGATACGGTTCAGCTGAACCTTCGGCTCCCGGCGAAGATCCTTCGCTGACCACCTTCTTCCTCCTATTTCCAGTCGGAGTCTATGAGCAGCTCTCAATCTACCGACAGAACGAGTAGCTCCGGGGAAGAATTCCTCGCTGACGATGAAGACGACGAGCTTCTCAGCGACACCTCTGAGGACAACGATGAAGAGTCGACGGAAGACGAGACGACAGAATCGCTCACTTGGGGAGTCTCAGTGATAGAGTGTTGTTTCGGCTGCCTTCACATGCAAGGTGTGCGGCGCATACTCTGGCGCTGTGCGCGACAAGCGATATTCTCAAGCTTCTGAAACGGTCAGAACATTCGGAGCTCCGGGAGTTCCATCAGTCGGTCATTTCGAAATGCAACGTGTTGTGGAGAGCTAGCAGGAGAGGAAAGTCGGCAGAAATCGTCTCCCACGTAACGGGAAGATGCCTGCCCCGCCCAGTTGAGACCAGATGGAACAGCTTGTATGATTCGCTAAAGGCCGTTCTCGACATCAAAGCTAAACTCCCGGCGCTCGCGATTGCGCTCAATATTCACCCGAGCCTGACGCATGAGGATTTCACATATATCGAGGAGTACCTTAGGTGTTCGGGACCTATTTCGGTGGCTCTCGACATATTGCAAGGCGAGAAAAAGGCTCACTACGGTATTCTACTGCCAACGATTCATGTCGTGAAGATACAGCTTACGGTCTTGCTATCCAATACAACGTTTCGCTTCTGCGGACCCGTAGCCGAGCAGCTCATCCAGAGTGTCGAGCAGCGTTTCAAGGACGTCTTCGATTGTACAACGATTCAGGGGGAACGGAGCGCCATAGCGGCAATCTCAACGCCCAAATTCAAATCGACTTGGTGCAAAAGGATCTCGGCTTACGATAAGGATTACATCCTAAGACGCTTCGAAGAGTTAGTGCGACGCAAAACAAGCCCCGACGGCAGTACCCATCTGTACACCGCCTGGGGACGACCATTATAATTTCGATGTCGAAGCTCCCTCAGGAGAGTCTGCGCCCGCCGTTCTATCCGCAGTGACGGCTGACTCGAGCGAAATCCTCGTGAGGCAACATCTCAATGATCCTGACACTGAAGAGTCAATGCTCCATCGATATGGACCGATCGCGTCTATATTCACAGAATACAACACGCCTCCGCCGTCTAGCGCGGAGGCGTGTTTCTATCCGAACGATTGTTTTCCTACGCATCAATGATCAATGCGCCCCGTGCCAATCGTTTGAGTGATGAACGGTTTGAACAAAGAGTTGTCCTTCGCAAGGCTCCTCCTTTTTTACGACTGACTTGAATCAAATCGAAGTACTGATTGAATTAGAGTTCGTCATTCATCCAGGCCAGATTGTCTTTCATAACTCACGTGTCTCATTGTTGTGCTTAATTAAGATTTGTGGTCAGCATAAAGCCCTAGAGCGATCATGCTTCATAACCTCCATGTGTCCTCCATGACCATGAAACATCGCATAGATCTTAGTCGCCCATCTTACATCGAAGAGCCGTAGCTTTCTTGAATATCTGAGTCACAAGGCAAAAACCCTTCCGAGCTGAGCCGCGAGGAGTTGAGATTTGGGAGGCGGAGAGCGTGGACG